CTGAGGCCCTATTCATTGTGGCTGACAACTTCAACCTCAAGCAGGTGATGCCAAAAAACCCCCAACGCATCTCCTGCCCCACCAGGGGGACTGAACATTCTAGACCACTGCTACACGACCATCAAAGACGCCTACTACTCCAACCCCGCTCACACTTCGGAAAGTCCGATCACAGTGCTGTGTTCCTCCTCCTCCCAGCTTACAAGCAGAAGCTGAAACGGGAGAATCCTTCACGAAACGAAGTACAGTGCTGGCCCGAGGGAGTGGAAGACTATCTCCGGGACTGCTTGGACTCGGTGGGCTGGACTGTGTTGAAGTGATCAGTGGAACATCTAGACGAGTACACCACCACCGTCACAGACTTCATTAGCAAATGCTTGGAGGACTATGTACCGTAGAAGTCAATCCGAGTATTCACCAACAGTAAACCTTGGATGAACCAGGAAATCCACTCCCTACCGAAAACTAGATGAGCAGCATTCAAGTCGGGTGACCCAGACCAATACAGGAAATCCAGATATGACCTCGGCAAAGCCATCAGGGAGGCCAAGAGGCAGCACCGGACCTAGTTAGAGGCCCAAACCTACCAAACAGACTGCCGCCATCTATGGCAAGGCCTAAACGACATTACGGGTTACAAAGTGAAGCAGAGCAAGATAGCAGACAAAGACACATCCCTCCCTGACACACTCAATGCTTTCTATGCTCGGTTTGTGCAGAATACCCCACTGGCCTGGCAATGCCTGCCCCGACAGCCCCAGACACACCTGTTCCCCCTGTCACCGCTTCAGAAATCAGATCAATCTTCCCGGGAGTCAGCCGAAGGAAAGTGACGGGCCCGGACGGTGTCCCCGGCTGAGCACCGGATCCTGTGTGGACCTACTGGCGGAGGTATTCACCGACATCTTCAACCTCTCCCTCCTACAAACCAAAATCCCCACCTGCTTTAGGAAGACCACCATCATCCCCGTACCTAAGAAAACACACGCAGTGTACCTTAATGACTACCGCCCAGTGGCTCTGACCTCAATAATCATGAAGCACTTCGAGAGGCTGGTCATGGTCCACATCAAATCCAGTCTCCCATCCTGCCTTGATTCCCTACAATTTGCCTATTGACATGACAGATCCACAGAGGATACCGTATCCCTAGCCCTGCACTCATCCCTGGAACATTTGGATAACAAAGACACCTACATCAGACTCCTGCTCGTTGACTACAGCTCCGCCTTCTATACCTTTTATCCACTCCAGACTGATCTCAAAACTGTGACCTTGGTCTCAGCTCCACCCTCTGCAACTGGATTGTCAGCTTTCTGACCCACAGACTGCAATCAGTGAGGATAGGTAACTACACCTCCTCCACAGTAACACTCAACACTGGAGCTCCCCCCCAAAGGATGCGTCCTCAGCCGCCTACTGTACTCCCCGTACACCTATCACTGTGTTGCCAAATTCTGAACGAACGCCATCTACAAGTTTGCTGACGATACCGCCATAGTGGGACGGATATCTAATAAAAATGAATCAAAATACAGAAGGGAGATAGAGGGCTTGGTGATGCGATGCAATGAAAACAATCTGTCTCTCAATGTTGGCAAAACTAAAGAACTGATCATTGACTCGGAAAGAAAGGAGGAGAACATGCCCCCATCTATATCAGTGGAACTGAGGTTGAGTGGATGCAGAGCTTCAAGTTCCTCGGAATGATGATAACCGACAACCTGTCCTGGACTTCCCATGTAAATGTGACAGTCAAGAAGATACAACAACGTCTCTTCTCCCTCCTGCAGCTCAGGAAATTTGACATGTCCATAAGGTCCCTCACCAACTTCTACAGATGCACCGTTGAAAACATACTGCTCGGGTGCATAACAGCCTGGTATGGCAACTGCTCTGCCCAGGACTGTAAGAAACTACAGAAGGTGGTGTGCACAGCCCAGACCATCACGAAAGCCAACTTTCTATCCAGGGCCTCTATTTACAGGGCTCGCTGCTGCGGAAAGGCAGCCAACATCATCAAAGACCCATCACATCCCGGTAATGGTCTCCTACAAGCTCTTCCATCAGGCAGAAGATTCAGAAGCCTGAACACACGCACAAGCAGGTTCAGGAACAGCTTCTTTGGCCATTATCAGACTGTTGAATGAACTCCAGCCTCAAGTACTATAACCTACAATGTAACCTGTATGCCTCTAAGACTTTTTGATCTGTACATCCTTTGCTTGCTGTGATCTGCCTGTACCACTCGTAAACAAAGCTTTTCACTGTATTTCGGGACACGTGACAATAAAATCAATCAATCTGACAGGACTGAATCATTCCCTTTCACCCACTGTGCACTGTGCATACATACAAATTGTTCTTTTTTAAGAATTTGTACCCTAAGATATCCCTGTCGCCTCCATGACATGCCCTGCCTAAAGTGAACTGAGGCTAATTGCAGTAACACAACCCAGTTTGAAACTGACCTTCACACTCAGTAAATGGGTGTTAAATTGACAATTGGTTATGTTTTAGAAACTAACTAATGTGGCCAAAAGTTATTATAGAAGGAAAGAATAGATTGTGAGAGCTTTTACAGATGTAGCTTTTTTTTTCTCTTTTATATCTTTTATATACCCTCTCCAGTTTAATAATATCCTTCCCATAACAGGGTGACCAGAACTACACACAGTAGTCCAGAAGAGGCCTCATCAATGTCCTGTACAACCCCAACATGACGTCCTGACTCCTACATTCAAAGATCTGAGCGATGAAGGCAATGCCTTCTTAACCACTCTGGCTACCTGTGATGCAAATCTCAAAGAATTTTGTACCTGAACCCCTAGGTCTTTCTGTTCTACAACACCTCCTAAGGCCCTTCTTTTAATTGCATAAGTCCTGCCCTTGTTTGTTTTATCAAAATGCAATACTTCACATTTATCCAAATTAAACTCTATCTGCCCCTCCTCAGTCCATTGACCCGATTGATCCAGATCTCTTAGTAATCTTAGATAGCCTTCTTCACTGTCCACTATACCACCAGTTTTGGTGCAAACTTACTAATCATGTCCCCTATATTTTCATCCAAATAATTTATATAAATGACAAACAAAAGTGAACCCAGCACCAATCCCTTTGGAACACTGCAGGTCACAGGCCTCCAGTCCGAAATACAACCCTCCATTACTGCTCACTGTCTCCTACCATTAAGCCAATTATGTATCCAATGGGCAAGCTCATCCTGAATCCCATGTGATCTATCTTTACTAGTTAGTCTACCACGCAGAATCTTGTCAAATCTGCCCTCATCAATCTTAATGGTTACTTCATTAAAAAATTTAATCAAGTTGTTGAGACACAAAGCCATGCTGACCATCCCAAATCAGTCCTTGCCTCTCCAAATGCATATAAATCCTATCTTTCAGAATCACCTCCAACAACTTCCCCACCACTAATATCAGACTCACAGGTTCTCAGGTTCCTCCTTACAGACTTTCTTAAATAAAAGCACAACATTAGCCACCGTCCAGCCCATTGGTACTTCACCCGTGTTTATAGATGATACAAATATTTCTGTAAGGGTTCCCGCAATTTCCTCCATAACTTCCCACATGTCCTGGGACACACTTGATTGGGTCCTGAAGATTCATCTATCATTATGTTTTCTAAAACATCCTTTTCTAAGTTTCCTCTTCTGGAAATGTGAACTGTTTCAACACAACAATATTTATTTCCCTGAGTTCTCTAGCCTCCATATCTTTCTTAATAGTACAAGTAAAACAGTGAAGTATTCATTTAATATCTCTCCCAACCCCTGAGGTTCAACACAAAGACAACTTCATTGATTTTTCAGGGGTCCTACTCTCTCTCTATTGAATGGTGGAACAGGGTCAAGGGGACAAAACAGCCTACTGCTGTTCCTATTTCATATGGTCTTTACTTTATTGCTTACATCTCTTAAGAAAAGCAGGGGGAAGTATTAATCAGATTTCCATTTCCAATCAACCCCATACAGCACCCCTCCAGAACAGAGGATTTGAGCCCAAATCCTTCTGGTGCGGAACCTGTGACACTATCACTGCACCACAACATCTTTTAAGTGAACAAGAAACCATAATCACTTCTCTCTCTAATGGAGAGATAATCTATCATGTATATTTTGAAAGTAACTACTCCACAAGTGTGGGGTCAGCTGTGGAGACAAGGCCTCTGTGAGCTACCACAGACAATATGGGAAATCAAACCCACATCACCGATAGTGCTTCAGTCATTTTGCTAACTGACCCCAACGTTCCTGTTTACAATATTTTCTGGTCAACCTGTTCACAGATGTTATGGCACACTTCTAGAGCAACTGGAGCTTCAACCTGGTTTTCTAGCCTAGAGGTAGGGACACTACCACTGCTCCACATGGCCACTTTAAGGTTGTGGCTTGATTCTTGCAGTTGTTGTGAATTTTCCAGGAAAAAATTATGTTATCAATGTTGCTGGCTCTTTCAGGTGACATGGGGAGACAGGCAGCCCTGTACTCTGTTATGGTCAGCCCAAACACCCCCAAAATATATTTATGTATTAATATATATCCATCAAGAGAAAACTCTGAGAGAGAGCGTAGCAGGGAGAGATGTATTGCAGCTTCCAAACCCAGCTTTAAGACCCCAGCAACTGCGCTACTGAAAAACTAAAACTAAAAGTCCTGACTCTGGGGGAGCTTGACCCCATCCATTCAAGCTGCTTCTTTTGTTCCAACTTTTAAAAAAACACCCCAAGGCCTCACAATCTGTTTATTTTATTGGATTCAAATGGACAACTGTGTGCTTCATTTTCAAAACCTTTCTTCAAAAAAAACCCAGGACAAAATACACCTCTTAAAACCATAGCATCGTCACAATTGGCCCATTTGAAGTAGGCCAATGAATGAAGCCTATACTGAAGGCCTGTTACCCAACACCAATTAGGGAGGGCTTATCGTTTGCTGAATTGCAGTCAAATGTGTTTAAATAGCAGAGGGGCTGCTCAGTTAAAACTATGCTTTCTTGGCTGGTTTTTCCTGTGCTGAGCAGTAGTTGTGTGTGGCCAGCTGGTTTGGTTGCTTTTCTGGGGAGACTAGCACCATGGATTCTCATCTTTTAGGGTAAGTAGTCTTTTTTTTTCCTGCTTGGTCTCTGCTTTGGTCTATGCTGTACTGTGAGCTAATTGCTCTTTCTCACTTCATTAGAGTGATATTACTCCTGGCAGTGTTGACCACACAAGTGAAAACAGACCCACCCCCTGGTAAGCCATATCCTGTTTTTTGACTTTCTTTCCAGACAAAGCAAAGATGAATGCCTGGGTTAAAGCATCTTTAGGGGCTATTGATGACTTCTCAAACTTGTTTTTGTATAAATAAACCTTTTTTTAATCTATTAATTCAACTCTTCCCCTCAAGGGAGAAGTATTAATACTCCTTGAATTTTCAAATATTTAAGCATCCTATTCTTCTCAGCACTTCAGTTAGTGGAATCTGGTTTGTTTCTCAATAGTTCCACTCCTGTCCCTGACTTAACCTACCCCATACATCCCAACTTTCCAGCCCATGTGGCACATTCAAACTAAAGTGAAGCCTTTAGCTGCACAATTCTGAGCTGGTCTAGCTGTGTTCCATTTGTTAAACACAAGGCATGTAGAGACCACTTGCCTGTTTAGACAATCAACTAGATCATGACTGGGTCCTCTTTTAAAAAGGAAAGTCTTGTTGTGGGGAAATGTTTGGCTTGATGAACTTTTTTATCTTGACCATAATCAATGGCCTTCTGGTCAAGTGAAAGAATTCCAAAGATTCACCTGCCCTGAGTGAAGGGATTCTGCACCTCAGCTCTAACAGGGCCAAACACTTGGCTGGAGGTTATCTCTAGTGTGCATCCCTCACCCCAAGGCCAGGGATCATCTCTCATCCATCCTGTAAGAATGTCTTAAGGTCTGAGTTTGCCTTGCTAACTATCATTGCCAGATTCCATATATTTGCCTCTTTATAAAGTGGCCACTGATCTGCTACTCCACCTAGTGAACTGTTGTGCTCTCCATGGCAAGTGTATCTTCCTTGGATAAGGAACAAAACTGCACAGGACTTCCAGTGCAGGTGTCAGACTTCTAAATGCAGCAAGATGCCTTGTTCCTGCACTCCAATCATACATGCAGCTAATAAGGTGTTTTGTTAGTGCTCCACAAATGCTAACACCACCATACCCTTTCAACAGTGGAACTCATCAATTCTTTCAAGGAATTTTTTTAACTCAACCTCTTTAAACATTCCCATACTAGGAAAGAATGTGGCAAATGACTGCATTTAAGTGGTCCACTTCCTTGTGAAGCTGCTTTAAGTATTCCTTAACTTGCATTGTTTACAATCCTTCCCCTAGGAAGTCACATTACCTCCCCAAAATGGGCCACCTACAAGGCTTTCACCTTCTGAAGGGTCTAGGCCCAAAACATCAGCTTCCCTGATCCTCTGCTGCTTAGCCTGCTGTGTTCATCCAGCTCTAAACCTTGTTATCTTGAGTAAGGAAATACTCCATCCACCTGGCTGAGTCAGACTTGTGGGGGAAAATAGCTGGGTCTAGTTTGGGTGCTGGCCCTGGGCCAATATTTCTTTTCTGCACTTAGAGTTAGTATGAAGGCCCAGTTCTCAAATCTTAGTTACTCCCCTATAGGATTAGTCAGAAATACCAACATCTGATGGCTCTCCCTGTATGCTGCATGTAACATCCTTTGACCCCAGACTTGTCACCAGTTTGAACTGCCAAAGGACCCACTTCCCTTCCACACCCCCCCTTGGAGCCTCAAATATATCAGCAATCTGTTTCTCTCTATATTGCCTGTTTGCAATCTGACTTTGCTCTGACTCCTGGTGGAGTAGTCACTCCACCCTAATGTCTGACTTGATCAATGTATCTATCCTCTATCTCTCTAAAGGAACTGTACAAAAAGAATGTCGCGACCGTTACTTCTACATCTGGATTGATAGAAGTTTCCTCTTGGGAAGAAACTGGAGCATTGATGCAAGTGGTGAGTTCCCCTGAAGTTGGATGAGCTCCAGGGCAATAGTTGTCAAATGACCTCTTAAAAGGTGAATTGCTTACTTGAGGAAGTGTTTCCTTGGAAACCTTAAATATCAAGGGGCCATTGAGACCTTTTGAAGGCTAACTCCAATGTAAGAATGTAGTGTCACTAAACCTACATTTGGTTTAACTTTGGGCACAAAGATTACAGCACAGGAACAGGCCCTTTGGCCCTCCAAGCCTGCACCAACATGCTGCCCATCACAACTAGAACCTCCTACCCTTCTGGGGACCACATCCCTCTATGCCTATCCTAGGCATGTATTTGTCAAGATGCCCTTTAAAAGTCACTAGTATCTGCTTCCACTAACTCCCCTGGCAGTGAGTTCCAGGCACCCACAACCGTCTTTTAAGAGAACTTGCCTCCTACATCACCTTTAAACCTTGCCCCTCAGACCTTAAACCCATGGCCCCTGGTAACTGACTCTTCCATGCTGGGGAAAAGCTTCTGACTGGCCTGTCTGTCCATGTCCTTCATCTTGCAGACCTCTCAGGTCTCCTCTCAAACCCCCCTCTTCCTCCAGTGAGGAGAACCCAAGCTTCTCCAGCCTCAGCATAGGTAATGCCCACCACACCAGGCAACATACTGGTAAATCTCTTCTGTACCCTCTCCAAAGCCACCATCTAGTAGTGTGGCAACCAGAATTGAACAACATTCCAAATGCAGCCTAACTAAGCTTCTATAAAGCTGCAGCTTTCTTTCCTAGAAAGGAGAACAACACACTTGGCTGGAGTGGTGCTAAAGTCAAGTTGAGGGCAGATTGTGCAAGGTCTCGATCACCAATGAATTCCCTATACCTGATCATCTTTGTATGAGTATCCACTAAGTTGGAACTTGAGTGGGAAAGGAACCTGGAAATGAAATCCCTTAATGTTAGTCAGACTGTCTATGGTGTGATAATGGAATGGGTTGCATGATTTCACTTAACATGGTCTAAATTGTCTTAACTTGCATCAACTAGTATGAATGTCCTGATCCTGTTTCTGATCATCCCCAACAGATGATTCTCAAGTCAAGATCCCACTGACACCCTGGTTTGCAGCGACATGTGGCTTCACTGTCACTTCAGATAAATGGGGAAATCTTGAGATCAGGGTTTCATTCCTTGCGTGTCTGGTTCAGAATGATGTGAGTAACCTAGCATCTACTTGAGGTATTTGGTGCTTTACACCTGTCCTGTGACCACAGGGCAGCAAGTAGTGTAATATACCTTGCTCTACAGTTTGCCAAGGGGTGAAATATATTAAATGTCTTCATCTAATTGCTCCCTTAGAGCTGAATCTATTGTATTGTGGTATTTGAAGGGGCCTAACCACAACATAGTCTTCAACTGAAATATTTTACCTCTTTATCAAGCCTTGTTGCTCAAGTATAGCTACCCAGATTACATGAGGGTTCTCTGGGTCCAAGTGAATATTTGAGTCAAGCACTCATTACACCTAACATCCTACTTGGATTTGGGAATGTCTGCATTGGCTCTTAACTGCCTAAAAATTTTTAGTTTGTTCACAATCTAACTGAATTTCATGTCCCACTTAAAGCTTCTACTTGGTTTCCAGTTCGCTTGCAACTCCAAGACCAGAGTTGACTAGGTTGGCTTTATTAACTTATTGAAGTCTAAGACCAGAGTCTGTCTTGTCCTCACTGACTTTGTAATGACATGGTGGACCACTGCATAGATGCAAAGTGAATCATGCTTGTATCTTGCAAACCAACTAAACTATAACAAGCTATCAAATTGACCTTTTAAGCAAACCTTCATCAGGGTTTTGAATAGCCTGCCACTTAAACACTGCCTGTTTTGTTCATCTCATCTAGAATGATGATACCTTTACATTAACCATGCACTTGAATGTTGAGAACCAGTTCATTCCTCATCTATTCTCCACTTCTACTTTCTCAATGACCTGTGGACTTGGCTATCACTGGAGCTCAAGAGAAATAGTTTGTGAAGAAAACTACATGGAGGTAAGATTCTTAATGTTGTGGTATTGGCCTGCAACTGTGGCCAGACCTTGTATTAAGTCCCTCCCCATCTGATGGGATATTATCTCACTGCAATCCTAATACAGACTGCAGCATAAACCAGCCACATGGCCAGTTGGCTATTAGCATTTGGGTTGGGCTGGGCTTCCCTCCCCACCCTACAGACAACCCTTTCCTAATTCAAAAGATGTGGGTGTTTCTGACTGGGCCAGCATTGACTACTTCAAGGTCACCTAGAGAAATTGGTGCTGTTCCACCTCTAACTGCACCTACCTGGTGTAGATGTACCCCCACAGTGCTGTTAGAGTTCCAGGACTTTGACCTAATATCACCTAGAGTTGATCTCTTGGGTTTGGAAGGAGCTCTTGGACTTGCAATGTCCCAAAAATACCCCATTAGCCCTGCTCAATACTGCCTCGCCTCAAACCTCATGGACTTTAATTCAGTGAAAGATTTTTTTCTTGGAGCTTTCCTCCAGAAGAAAATTCTCTTCCAGACCTGAAGGTATTGAATATTTAGAACTAATACAAGCTCCTTGACCTCACCCTCAAGTCACCTGAACAGACTAGCATAACCTAATGGATTGTTATTCAATTGAGGTATAAAACCTGACTTTGTTCCAAATAGGTCTCCGTCAGGAGGTTATTCCCTGGTATTGCTGAAGAGCAAATGGAATCTGAGGATTGGGAAGCAGTTATTCCAGCAGTAAGTTCCCATCTAGAAACATTTTAAGATAGTAAACCTGAACTTTGTCCTCTCTCACTGGCTGATTGTAAAATTAATCTCTCCAAATATTATGACCTGTAAAGCTTTCTTAACTCCCAAAGGACACTTCAATTGCCTGTAATTTGAATCCTCAGCACCTTGTGTTACTGCTGCTCCTTCAAATTTGAAGGAGCTGGCAACAGGATGTGTCCTTGTGTATATGGGACAAGTGCCAGAAACTAGGATTAGTGCACTTTTTAGTTCTAGCTACCTTTAGTGTAGACTTGATGAGCCAAAGGGCCTCTTCTACACTTGCATAGCTCTTTAAATGAATGGCCCTAGCTGTCTCTCCAACCAGTGAAAGAATTTGTATCAAGTCCAATCTGTAATTAGGACACTATACTCTTGAAGGACAAACACTAATTTTGTTGTAATTCTATCTGTCAGATAATGCCCTAAACTACTCATTGGGTGCCCTGGAGTTGAGGCTTGAGACCAGGGCTGAAATCCTGTGATTCATATAGTAATTAGCCACAATAACAAATAGCTCAGTTCTGAAACTCTTCCTAGCACTTTGACAAATATCATCTGACTCAGTTTTGAAGTGAGTTTGTAGGCTCTTGTATCAATAAGATCTAATCCAGAACTCTTCCAGGCTCAAGAGGCCATAACATCGGTGTGGCAGATTGTATTCCAAGTGGGTGAAGGGGAGAATCTGCAGCTGAAGACCATGACCACCACAGAAGCCCATTCCCTTGGCTATGGGATTAATACAACTGCTTCCAGAGTTGTGTTCCGTGCCCCTTACAACTCCACTGAATCCAGCATTATAATGGTAAGTGATTAGTTTGCATACCAGGGACTTCAAAATCCAAGACCACTGGGGCAGCAATCATGTTCAGAAGTGGAGTGAGACAGCACAAGTGACTATCATCTGACTGAAGTGTAACTAGTTTGGAGCTCTTCAACATGGGAATGTTGGCTTTGATAATTTTGAGTCATCAAATACCTTGAGCAGAAGAGCCCACTCAGCTCATCAAGTTGACTGTCTTTCTAACTGCCAATGACCTGCCCACTAACCTGAGTGCAATCCTGAACTAGTAACCACATCCCTATGGTTCACACTTTCCTGTGTTAGAAAATGGCCCTACACCATACAAAGCACAACCTGTCACTATGGGCCACTTCCCTACAAACTCCACCCTTTTGGTTGGATCCAGTCATCTAATTAAATCTCAATCTCCATCAGAATTGAGCTTGATACAAGCTGCTTCCTGAGTCAACCTTTGCTGCAGTCAAAGTTCAAGCTGTTGAAAGAGCAACATCCCCCAAGTAATGGGTGTTGATCCATCTAACTGCCTGAAGGCACAAGGATACCTTCTAATGCTTGCAAAAGCTTCTAACTTTAATTGTCTTCTTCCTAAGATTGACAACATGCCAGTTGAAAGCATTAAGGCAACAGTGTTCTACAAGCAAAGATGGTTGATCCTGTTAGTTGACAGCTCTACTGCTTGTCCAATTGGTAAGTTCTTGCTCATGTATATCCTGTCTGCTTCAGCATTCAACCATCAAACCTCTGGTTGATTCCCCCATGAGGGTAACTGACTTGGATATTAAATTCAAACTTGGGCCAGAATTGGCAATTAAGTACTTTTTTTTCCTCTTAGGCCATGGAATCTTGAAAGACAACCAGCTGGTGTGGCCCACACCCAGGATTTTAGAGCCACTAGTGTTCCCTGCCAATATCACTGCTGACATGATAACCATGGGTGTAGAAGGGAAATTTCTAGATGATGAGACTCTCCAGAGGAGGGGTTACAACTTGCACATCAATGAATCTGTCATTGCCATTGTCATCCCAGTTGGAGCAGTGGGAGGCTGGAGTAAGGTATGTGGTCTTTAGAAATTAAACTGACTTGTTCCCAAGTGCATGATCCAAACTTTGACTTGTCACAAGTGTATTGCCACTGCAGGGATACAGATAACAACCACCCAGACCTGGATTCCTGTAGTTGAACACAATCACTATTTCTTACTCTTCACTGACTTCCCCTTCAGCTTGGTGGTGGCACTTAACTTTCAGCTGATTCAGCAACACCAGACTAGTTTTATCTCCCTTAAGGGTCTGTGCTACCCACTCCTGAGCACTAAGTTAACCTCCCATGATATGGTCAAAAAGCAGCCATTCTAGGCTACTGAATTTTACTGATCTGAGTAAACAAAGATACTAATCATTTAAGGGCTCCAGACCTAGAAAATGCCAACTGGCAACTCCCTCCTGCAGTATCACAAACAAGATTGAGGATTGTCAACCACTTGTCTAAGTGGGTATTTGGGCATCTCCCTCAGTTTCCCTCTTGCATCTGTTTGTTATAAGTGGTTTAGTCTAGAACACCTGTCTTCCACTATCAGACTTGGGCTGAAGGGCCTTTGACTTCATGCCATCAAACCCAAATACTAAGTTGTTTAACCAGTGACTGAACAACTAACCTGTTTTCATAACTTGGCCTCTTTTAAATTGCATAGTGCAAACACTATTGCACTTCCTTTTACCACTCTGGCTCCAGGCCAATGAAGTCCCTTGCACTTTTGTGCTTACTAGGCACCACTTAGCCATGCATTAGCTAATCCATCCTGATCTATTCTGCTTAACCTCTCATACAGTTCATCTTTTTTCCCTCCAGAGCCATGTAAGTAATAACACCTATGGGATCATCTATTCCATCCACTTGCTTCTGGAACATCAGTGGCTGGATCACCTACAGGAACTGACACAGCATAGGGTGTATCGCCTAGTATCAACTCCCTTCATACCAAAAATTCCACATGTCATTGGTAAGTCACATGCAACTTTCAAACTGCAGTCTTAATGTTCTGTAAGCTGGCTCAGTTATATTCTGAGCCAACTTTCCAATAACTGACAGTTTCCAGTCTTGGATTAAGAACACTGGACTAGGATACTAAGAGCTCCCTGTAATCTGAGAACACTAGGATCTCTTTCATACAGAACCTGAGGCTTCTCCAGCTTTAAATGAAAGCTGACCCAAGATTTGCAGTCTTCCTGTCAACACTGACTAAATGTCTAACAGAATTTGGTTTCCTTCCCCCGCCACCAACTCCTTGTACTAGTGGGATTGGGGCCCATCTTTCCACTTTTTTCTCCCCACCCCCCAACAACCTCCAAGCAGTTTGAGACTTTCCTACATAGCTTAATCCCTGATTATACACAATGGATTCAGATTACCTTGGAGTATGCAAGGACTTTTTGTCAGCAAAAACAAACTTCAATATAATATTGTTTTCTAGATACTGATCCTACACTTCCTAAGGAACACTTCAACATCACAGTGGGGCTATTCCTTCCTGATGTGGAACTGGTGTCCATTACAGTGGCTGGCAAGAATCTCTCTGTCAATGACTTGAAGAAACATGGCTACAACATTTACCCAACTGTTTATCCTAATGATACTGTGGCCTTCACTGTAGTGGTGGATGTTGGGGCTCCATTCATAAAACAGCAGGTAATTTCTAATGTCTACAATTGGTTTTACACCACACAAAACAGATGCTTGGCAAGCATCTATCACCTGATCTGCCTTTATGATCCTTTCCATTACTTCACAAAGCTGCAGAGTACTTCACTCCAACATGCCCCCATCTTGAAACAAATCAAGTCCCTGCCTTGACTAAGCAAATACTTCACACAAAGAATCACTCTTGATATGAACAGTGCTTACCACCTGTGATTTTGGCACAAGTAACTACTAATTGTGTAAAATGGCTTACAATCTGAGCCATAATCACAACTTGTGGCAGTTATGATAGAACTCCTTGGAATAAGACCATGTGCAGTTCAAGAATCTCCATAGGAGGGATAAAGAACACTGAAGGGTGCAAATGCTGCCCAGGAAGCTGAGCTTCTGACTAGACACTCAGAACAGTGGGCAACAAATGCTTAAAATTGAAGGGCTTATCTAGGGTAGACATGAAGAAATGTCATTGGGCAAGCCAATGACTAGGGTTCTTAAGGAAATCTCACCTAGAGGGTGTGGGAATCCAAAACTTGCTGCTAATAATAGTAGTAGGGGCAAACTTCCTCAATGATGTACTTGCAAGTGCATATATAATCCAAAAGGCTAGGGGGGGGGGGGGGCCAAGTGCTAGCAACTAACTGAGCTAATAGCTAACAAGGTATAGAGCTAGATGAACACAGGCCAAGCAGCATCAGAGGAGCAAGAAGGCTGATGTCTTGGGCCTAGACCCTTCTCCAGAAAAGACCCTTCTGAAGGGTCTAGGCCTAAAACATCAGCCTTCCTGCTCCTCTGATGCTGCTTGGCCTGCTGTGTTCATCCAGCTCTACACATTATCTTAGATTCTCCAGCATCTGCAGTTCCTACTGTCTCTGACCTATAGGTGGCTTTTGACAACTATGGGCTAAAGTAGCCCTCTGACCCTCTTCAGGATGTCATTGAGATCTTGACTATACAAATTCATCTCTCCATCCCCTCCCCACCCCTGAACCAATGCTTACCCAGCTGATCAATTCTTGCTAAGAACAGCAACAGTAGTCATTTTCTGGCTTTTAAAATAGCTGCATCTCAGACTGAACTCTTTGCCTTGAATAGGTGTGGCTGGGTTCTAGACCTCTTGCAGACAATCCTTCTACCATCAAGACCCCCTCTGCTCTTAATCACATCTTTAACTCAGGCATAGTTTAACACTTCCTCAAACCACCATTCAGGTATCTAGTCTTAAGTATTAAATGCTTCCAATTTTCACCTTGCAGTAATACTCTGCACACCAATCCAGTCATGGCCTCCACTGTAACAAGCATTTCTTCAAGGTTGCTTCCAGCAATCTTGGTTGTCTTGTATACTCACATTCAACCCACACTGGGGACACTCACATCCTGGTATGTCAGACCTGCAATCTCTCTTTCTATTCCAGATGCAGTAAACTCAATTTTCCCACAATCCACTGGCTTGATCATTCCTTGGCAAGTATAGCAAACTTGGGCATCCACATCCCTCTTAAACAATTGAGGCCCTAGCTCTGATCCTTATGGCATCAACCACTGGTGAAGTGGACAAACACTTTGGCATGAATAGATTGCCTTGCTGTAACTCAGCTGCATGCCATAGTCTGTCAACTAAGCTTACACTTCATCAAATACTACAATCTACAGTACATCCTCCCTGCCCCACTTCTCTTATCCAGAGTACCTCTTCTACTTGACTGCAATTGACTGATCTAATGTTCTCATTGCAAACACATGGGCCTGTGTTTTTAACCTGCCATAGTTCTGAGCTTTGTTCCTGTTTTTAATACTTCTAGTACCTGTATGATGACATCAGAAGATACACCATGAACATTACATTAAACTTTGCTACAATACCAGACAATGAGACCTTCACCACACCAGTGGTAGTCACAGTTGATGTGCATGATGTTGGTGAGTACTAGCTGGTTTGTTTCCTTCTCATCTCTAAAGTTCCTGAGAAGCACTTGAAAATATTGTAGCCCAACATAATGAACATATCCCTGGGGCTCAGACTAGAAGAACATAACAGGTCCTCTCATTGGATGAGGTCTCCTGTTCTAGATCAAATCTAGTCAAAACCACTAGCAATGGTCTAAGCCCATCTGGCTTCCTATGGAAGGAAATCTGTTCCTTGCTGACTCTTATCTACACAACTCCAGATCTGCAACAATCGGCCAACTCTAAATTGGCCAGCAGGCAGTCAGGAATTTGCAACTGACTTGTATCAACCAGATGTTGACCACACAGTATCTCTGACACTAATATCTTTCTTCCAGTGCTGCCAGTTATGTTGGGACATTGTCTTAATAATACCCTCTACCTGCTCCTGAAACATGGTAATCTGGATCACTACTGGCTTCCTTATGTAGCTGATGAGCCTCTGACCTATGAACTAGCCCAAATGAATGGTTACATGGCCATAGAGAATGGTACACACTTTTCCTTGGAAGTTCCCTTCACTTCTCCAGGAGTTGTTCATGAGGTACTCATTTAAATAACTCTTAAAACAAATCCCACTAGCATATCTCAGTCACTGTTCCACTGGCTAAATCACTAACTGTGCTCCTCAGGAAGTTTCTCTGCATGAATTGCAAGCAAGGATTGACTTCAAGCTTAAGGACAACCAGACACTGAAGGTTTACAGTAGCTTCTCAGTCCAATGCAACTTCTTCATCCCCCAAGAGGAAGTATTGGGTAAGATGTCTGGATGAATGGCAGAATATAGTGCTGCAGGAGCCTCTCAACTAAACTTTGAAGCAAGACAAGTAATCATCTTGTGTAAAGATCAAGGCCTGATAAGCATCATGTAACACATTGGATCTGTCTATTCCAATTTCTAAAGTTTTGTAACATTTGAAGGGTTTACTTCAGAGTGGGGAAACAAATGGGATACAATCTAGGACTACTACATTAGCCAATGCAAAAAATGATATGTTCAATCTGTCACTATTCCAGTGTGCTTCCAAAATGGTACTGTGGCCATCACTGTCAAGCCATCAGTCACCCTTCCAGAGCTTGATGTTGACAAGCTGGTGCTAAGAGATCCCAAATGTGGGCCCAAAGAAAAAGATGCAACAAAGGCACTCTTTGTGTTTGATATCAACTCCTGTGGAACCACTGGAAGGGTAAATAACCTCTTTAAAATGTTGTCCTCTAAGTTAGTTGGGTGTTGACTCAGCCCCAAGACCTCTAGCTTTTAATCTGTCCAGATTCCACTATTTATAAGTAGTCATCAAGCCTCCAATTCCACTTAGATGCAGTGGAAAGTACTAGATTAAACAATACAGTATCTCTAGCAGCACAAATTGCTATGATCCCATAGGATCATGGGGGCTGCTCAAATAGGTCATTGCATCCACATACCTTGGGTGAAGTCTTACAGGTGAGACTTTAGAACTCATTCAATGTGAAAATTGAACACAGCAGCACTACACCACCACCTAACTTGCCCAAACTTCTGCCATGCATCTGGTGAGTGGCCTAATGTCTATACTTTGACTTAGTCTGGTCCAATAGAACATAGTCAGGCCCTCCAGCCCACGAAGTTGTGCCAGACCTTTACCCTAAAGTCTGTCTATTCCCCCTCCCCTAGCTTGTACTAGCATCCATATGCCTACCTAATATTCACTTGAATGCTCCCAATGAGGCCAACTCCACTACCCTCTGGCAATGCATTCCATGCCCCTACCACTCTGAGTAAAGAACCTGCCTCTGTCTCCCCAATATCTACCTCCTTTCACTTTTAAACTACCCACTCAAGACCCTAGGAAAAAGTCTGACTGTCCACTCTATCTATACCTCTGATCATTTTTGTATACCTCTATCAAGTCACCTCATCTCTTCTTAAGAGAAGCCCTAACTCTCAACCTCTCTCGAGACCTTGCCTCTATTCTAGGCAACATCCTGGTAAATCTCCTCTGCACTGTTTCTAATGCTTCCACATCTTTCCTGTAATGAGATGACCAGAACTGGACACAATACTCCAGATCTGGACAAACCAGGTTTCTGTAGCTACAATACTCCAATAGCTGCACCTTGAATGATTGTCAAGCCATGCCACTATTTCACCTTGGCATCTGCTGTTTCACCTTAGGCTGGTTTATACAGCTGTCCATTCCTCTCCTGGTTACAACTCTTTCCCCCTCCATTGCTCACTGGCTGCAAATCTTGCAGTAGCTCCACTCCTAACAGCACCAATGAGAACCGTCTGAACCTCACGTCCCTTTGTTTTAGTATGTATTCCAGAAAATGCATTTGTAGTGTTTCTGATCTGACATCTGAACATGATCTCTAATCCAGATCACACAGGATTTTGTCATCTATGAGAATGAGATTGTGTACTTGAGAGAGGCCATCCCAATCAACTTTCCCATAATAACCAGAGATCCTGACTACAGGTAGGAAAAACTTACCATCACTTCAGCATTATTGTCTATGGCACATCCTTGTGCTCCACTAAAACTGGGGCAAGAGATTAGTGACTTTGCTTAACAATTCAACAGTAATGCACCTCCCTCTTTACCAGAAAGCTGCTAGTAACAGCTTGTCTCCTCTCTAGGTTGACCATCCTGTGCCGTTATCCAGTCAATGAGACCCTGACCATCCAAGCACGGTTTGGCCATATCCCTGTAGGATTCCAACTTCCTGATGGTGTGCCACTGGTCAGACATCCCCTGAAAAGTAAGGAAATTGGCCTTTTTCTTAAAGGGGCTCAAACTTATCTGCATCCAATTACATGATTTTTCTTCTTCCAGGTGAAGAGAAGAACACTCTGAAACTACATGCAAGGCTGGCACGAGGTACTGGGATTTGTTAGGGGACCCTTTACAAACTTGAGTGAAACCATAACTTGCAGCTTGGTAAATACTAGCATAGGCCAGAGGTGGGTGGTACTGATGCCTCAGCATCAGGGACCTGGGTTTGTCCCTACACTAGTCTGTGTAGGTTTCTTCCAGGCACTTGGACATCTTCACAACAAAGATGTGCTGGTTAGGTGGATTGGAGCCATTCAGTGTGGTCAATGTCAAATGAGTGGGTTAGATGCACTTCCCACAAGAAAATCAAATGGGGATGGTTTAGGTCATCCTTTAGTGAGGGACTCTCCAATAAGGACTCTCCATCCTCAGTTCTTCCCCCACAAACATCCTTAACCCTATCAATACTCTTCCAGGTTAAAACCATCAAATTGTCTTTCTTGAGCCAAGCACATCCTTGGTGCCCTATCCTTTTTTCATTTTCCTATATAGGCACAAATTACTACATTACCAAGAAATCCCAACATTGTCAGGCACAAGACTAACCAACTATTGGGCCTTCAACCCTGCAATCAGTCTCAGCCTTGTAGCCACCCTGTGTGCAATGGATTGTAGGCCCACTTTGATCCCAATAAGTAGTCTTGCATGCCTTCAACTTGATGTACTTGTCTAACATGTCCCACTTGGTCCCATCTTGTCAGACTTGTCCTACACCAGCTTCTACAAGGATGAAGACTACCCAGTACCTTTCCACTTGAATCAACCACTCTATTTTGAGATTGAGCTATACAACCAGAATCCCAATGTTGAATTATTTTTGGAAAATTGCTGGGCAACACCATCTGAGGAGCTGGCTGGACAGCCACAATGGGATATTATTGTGGATGGGTAAGTGGCTACTACAATGTTGTAGTAAAACAGTTTAACAGATCAAACAACCACTGGTCATGGACAAGATTAGACACCCCTCTAAGATAGCCCAGGCTTTAATCACTTAAAGGTAAACTTAGTGCTGTGTTCCAAGTGCAATTCAACTGGTCAATGAGATTTTAATTGTCAAATCCAACAAGGAATTGGAATAACTCAGTTGGTTTAGGGGGTGGGGTGCTGCAGGGAACAGTAATAGTACCTGATACAAGTTTGTTGATCCAAAACAGTAGCACAACATCCTAGCAAAGTTTCTCATGCATAATCAGCAGAGAAACTCCATCTTCTAGCTTCCTTTTGAGCTTCTAAACACCAGATTCTGTCCTATAGACTCTCTAGCTAAACCTAATGACTAAAGGTTAAAAATCCTAGTCTGAGCTGGCTGCATCCATGCAGGTTGCTTCATTGTTCCAACTCTTAAAGCCAAACACTTTACTGACTTTCCAAGAATATAGCTCAGTGCCTGTCAACTAAGGACAAACCTCAAAGCCACAGCATGCTACCAGATCATCTAAAAGGCTAAGAATCTAAAGGTAATCCTAGTGAGTGAGATACTAGTTAAACTAGCTGACACTGCAGTGGTCATGAACTGCTTATCCAGCAGATACTCCATCTAAATGGATATAGGCTACCCTCTCTTCCTACAACCTAGTCTAATCCAATGTACAATGGATTAGTAATCTTGTCTCTCTTCTATTTATCTGCCCCTCAATGCTTGACTACCCTGTAATTCAGACTCCTTCCAGGTCATGCTATTCAAAAACTTCAAGAAGTGAGTCAACCTCACTCCTGGAATCTCTATCATAACCATGAAGTTGGTCTTTAACCCTACAACCAGCTAGATCTTGGCTTGTGCAGTTTTAATCCCATTAATTCAACTCCATTACATATTTGGTACAGGACACTATCATTTGGGGCAAAGGTATTTTCAGTCTGCATGTTGCACTCAGATGTACTTCTCCCTCTAGCTGTGCAAACCGCATGGAGACCTACATGAGCACCTTTCTCCCAGTTATCACGAAGGATGTGAAGAACCCTTCTTCTCTGAAGAGGTTTGAAGTCAAGACCCTTGTCTCCAATAACTCTGGATTGGAGGGTCTGGTAAGCATTAGACCAGTCAGCTAAGCTGCTGAGAACTTTTAGCTTGTGCTTATTCAGTGGCCTCTTCTCCTCCCCCTCTCCTAGGTGTATTTCCACTGCAATGTAGCAGTTTGTGATCTGAGCAATGAAGGTTCCTCTTGCAGAAGGATATGTTCTCCAAGCAAGAAGGGAGGTAAGGTACCAGCCATCAACTGGTGATTGCATTTGTCCTTCCACTATTAAAATATCACTGATTCAATTTGATAATATCACTAGAAATGGGTAATGCCACTTCTTGCACCTTTAGACCATCCTAACTGCAGTTTCCTGCAGACTAGCATCAGTAATCTTGCAAGATGCCTCTGTAGCCAGGGTTATGAAATGGTTCCTTCTGAACCTGCATGTGGTTCCAGAGCCTGGATATGGCTTCATGTACAAGTCTACATGTGCCCAAAACAAGTGGCATTCTAACTTGAGTCTAGGGATGAACCTAAATAGGTTCTGGAATCCAGAACCTATTTAGTGTTCAAGGAGTCAAGGTTTCTTCCTAGTTTTAGGGGATACTTTTTGAATGGTAAGCTAAAACAAAAGAACTGTAGCTCCTGTGGTTAGGAAAAATGAACCAAGCAAAGCTGCTAGAAATGCTTGGCAGGTGTAGCAGCTTTTTTCTTAATGGTATTGACTACTTATCCTCTTTCCTAACTTTGGGTTTTATTTCTCTTCCCTTCCTATCCTCAGGCCACACAATCTCTCACTCAACCAGAGAGTTGCATGGTGCTGTATCCTCAGGCCCTATCAACATCCTGACCCCAGGAGTGAGTCAGTCTCCACATGAGACCACTGGTAAGGCTAAAACTGACTTCTGCTAATAAAGCAAATGTAACAGTCAGGTGAATGACATTGGGGTTAAATGCCATTTCAAGGGGGCAGACTTTCAAGCAAAAGGATGCTCTGAAGTCTCTGGCTGATGGCCTAGTCAAAATGCCACATTGACTAATTGCTAAATCTTATTTATTATACATGGCACTTTCAAGATGTGTCTACTTGCCAAAGATGGGTCATTGTTTTGAACCTTCACCCTTGCTGCAGATATGACTTTCTTCTTTTTCTTCCAGGATCTCTCTGGAAGTTGTCCCGGGTGGTGTTAATTGCTGTTGGTGTTGCTGTAGTGAGCAGTCTCTTGCTTCTGGCTGTGGCTTATGCTATAAAATCCAGGTGCTACTGAACACATGAATAAAGAACAAACTAAATCTGCAAATGTATTTTGTACTTGAGTATTCTGTACTCTAACAGTGGTTTCTGTCTAGGTGGGAATGGTGAGTGACTGTCACTTGTCTTTTGATAGACTATTCCTTTAACTTACTGGCTTCCTCTGGCCTAACTTTTTTGCACTTTCTATCACTAATATTCCCCCTTGAGTTAGTACCAACATCTTTCCAAGATGTTGGATCTACCTGAATGTGTTTACTTGCCACAATGAAGATTAGCCCTGCAGAGTCTAGGACTACAAGTTGTGATGGGATTTTCCTTAGAAGGACCAAATAGCCTTTGGCAAAACTTGTTTTCTCCTAGATAATCTTCCTTCCACATGAGTCAGTACCAGCCACCACTTACCCTAGGAGGCTAAGAGTTAGATCCTCTTGCTGTGGATCTACAGTAGCACCTTCCTTGCCAGACCAGGTAAGAACAGCTTTGCCTCCCATAAAGACAGTCTGGCACAGAGCTGACTAGATAGCTGCATCTGTGGTAGCCTGTAATTCCCAACTTCTAATTGACCATGGTGATTTTCAGAGTTAACCAAACATTAACTGTGGTGTTCTGGATTAGTGACATTGCTACTTCACTGACCCTTGACTTGTAGCAAAAATGCAAATGGCAGTTCCCACAAGATCAATCCCACTAGATACTAACTAGAACAAGTTGAGAACTCTTGATCATGTGTGGGCTACATGGTGACCTCACTGCCCCAACTAACAGCAGCAGACATCCCTCTTTATCTTCATTTCCATGTTGGTTGCTGACTTCAAACCATTTAACAATGGGCACATGCACTAAAGCCATTATTCCAAATCTTCCACACATTCCCTTGTCCTAGAACAGGACAACACAAGCACAGTCCTTCAAGTCTGACATCTCTTGCAGGTATCAGGGGTTGAAGTCACTTAAGTTTAGTAGGACACCCACCCCAGCCCTGGCTAGTTCAGCATTTAACTTTTCCTCCAGGAATCCATGCTGACATCCACCTACTGATGTTGGATGGGTACAACTGTTACAGACAGCAATGCTGCCATAAGACTAATGGAGAGGCTCCATGAATGAGCTAGTTGTTCATCAGAATTCCTAGCCTCTGAACTAGTCTGTTTTTGCCACAAAACAGCTGGTCTGATTATTCTGGCAGAACATTATGGCAATAAGTCTCTTGACTATAACAGGAAAGTTGGTCACCATCCCATTAAATGGGCTGCTCAGCAACATTGGATGCTGTCTCTAGGAAGAGCTTTTCCAATAGCAGAACAATATTGCTGACTAGATGTACACTAGCAAACATGCTGACTTCAAATTGATTGCAGTGGAGGTAATTGGATTCCTTTAAGAGTAAGAACTCATGCAGTAATGTCCAAGCTGTAAATATCAGTCAGCTCAGACTTTTCCAGTTTGGAGTTGTACCTAACATGGGGGTTCCTTTTTGAATGCAATTTTATTGGAGGCTCCTTGTGGGATTTTCCAAATGCTGGCTTTAGTAGCTTAAAATTATAGTCTTGGTCTGAGGAGCTGAGTGACATCTCGTTCCAACTGGACCCATGAGCAGCTTTTAATTGACAATTGTAGTTCAAGGTCCAAGTTAATGACCCACTGGCTTTCCCCACTCAGTGGCCATGTTTGATTTGTGAATGAGTCCTAAGTGTCACTCATCCAGGCTGATTCTTGTATCCAGCTATACCAGAATGCTGTCACCTGGGCTAATTCAATGGTGTAAGACAAGAGTAGTGCTACTGGGGCCTGCAGTGTTGACCAATATTTGCCACTTAAATTCCTTGATTACTAAATTTCTGGTAGCCTCCAGCACAAAGCTATAATGGATCATCTATTCAGCCTTGCCTACTATTTCTAATGAGATGGTCATGCTGAAATTGCATGTAGCAATCTGTGGCACTTCAACCTACAGAGGTTTTGTTCCACACTAGATGTGGCAGGGCTACAGATCTTGGATTCTGGGGTTGGTCCAAGCTGCTTCAATCTTCCAATGCAAGTATTGAACCTTAACTCAAAAGTAAAGCCATGTTCAAGGTTCCTGGCACACCTTCCTGCACTCCTTTAATTGTGGCTTTTTCCAATACCCCATGCCCATCAGGCTAGGGGTATGTACCAGGTCCCTTAAGGAAAGATATACTGATATGGAGACAATCCAAAGGAATTTCACTAGGCTGCATTCCTAATGTTTGGCCAGGTTTACCCATTCCCTCCTGTTATTGCTCTTTAAATTACAAAGGCATTTCCTTTTGGGGTTTTGGTTGTACCTTGTTAGGTTACCTTGGGCAAAGCCTATGAAACTAACTTGCCACAGCCTCACACAGGAATGGTCTTGGTCTTATCTGTCTGAGGCTATAAAAATTAGAATAGGATTAGGCCATTCAGCCCCTCCAGCTTGAATGGCCATTCAATGGGATCATGGCTGAACTGACATTCTTGCTTTTTTTCCTTGATTCTGACAGGTCAAGAATCTCTCAGCAGTAAAGAGCTCTTGAGACACTCAGCACTCAGATAAAATCCTCCTTCATCTCAGTCTTAAATTGGCAACCCTTTAATTCTGAACAACCCTTTAATTCTACAACCCTTTAATTCTGACACTCCTCAGGTCCTGGACTCTCCCATGAAGGGAAACACCCTCTCAGCATTGGCATCTCTCCTCCATGAGATCACTTCTCATTTTTTCCCCAATTAAAGTCCCAACTTCTTTATTCTTTGCTCATAACACAATCCTTCCATTTTTCCTACAATATATGCCATTTGTCAACTTTGTTGCCCACTTACTTAACCTATCACTGTTTCTCCATAAACTGTTTATTGTATCCCCCTCAACTTGCCTTTCCACCTATTCTTAACATCTGCAAATTTGGCTGCAGTACATTTTGCTTCCTTAATCCAAGTTCTTTAAAATATATTGTAAAACATTGTGATCCCAGCACTGATCCCTGTGGATCCTCAATGATTTCAGGTCACCAACCTGAAACAAAAACCTTATCCCCATTAGGTATTGCCTTCGCCTTCTACACCTCCCATTAGTAGCAAGATGCTCAGTTTGTGATCATTTGGCTATTGGGCAGCTTAATGCCAAAATAGACTGATTTAGTCTGCATACTTTACATCAGTTTTTGTTTCAAAAATTATGATGTAAACTTTAAACATGCTGGCATTACTTTGAGATTCCTTTTCCAAACTTCCTTCTGCCAACAGATGTTCTCAAGGAATTATTTCCTTCATACAGGAACTTCCTCCAAGTCACTTTCTTCTGCATGAGGATCATGTGTTGAAATCTATATTGCATTTCTTAAGGAAGTATTTGAAATATGCATCCTTTGTGTTCCTCTTGTTTCAGTGCCTACCTTGATCCGGGAAAAGATGTTTTGCTTTGTTAGTCAGAACTTGGGCAGTAAGGTGAGAGGGGAAAGATTTAAAAGGGGCCCAAGGGCTAACTTGTTCATGCAGAGGGTGGTGTGTGTATGGAATGAACTAGCAGAGGCTGGTACAATTATAACATTTAAAAGGCATCTGGATGGGTATATCAATAGGAAGGGTTTAAAGGGATATGGGCCAAATCCTGACAAATGGGAGCAGATTTAATTAGGATAAATGTCTATGGTCAGCATAGACAAGTTGGACCAAAGGATCTGTTTCCATGCTGAATATCTGACTCTATTAGCACATGACCAGCACAATTAGTTTTGATGATTATAGCCTCAATGCTTGTGCCACTTCAAGGATGCTGTTGTTAGTATATCTGTCCTCCCAGCTGATGCTAAGAACCCATCTCAAACAGCATTGATGTTACTTCTCAAGCAACTTGAGGTGGGTTCTGTATGGTGTCTAAGTTTCAGAGCATGATATAAGAATTTGAAGGATCTTGGTATCAGCATGAATGTCACGGTCATAGAAGACTCCCATTCATGGGTGTCTGAAGTCAGTGCTTGCAAATCCGATGTTATGCTGAATCTCAGCATTGATGGTGTTAGATGAGAGATGGCTTCCCAGGTAGATGGAACAATTTTATTTGCTGAGGGGGCAAGGGCATCACTGGGTGGACCAGCATTTATTACTCATCCCTAACTGCCCAGAGGGCAGTTAATCAGTCACATGTAGGCCAGCCCAGGTAAGGATGGCAGATATTCTTCCCTAAATCTTCCCTAAAGGGCCTTAGTGAACCAGGTGTGTTGTTCCAACAATCAGCAACAATTTCATTGTCATTAAACTCTTAATTCCAGATTTTTTAAGCTCAATTCAAATTCCACCATCTGCCGTGGCAGCATTTGAACCCAGGTTCCCCAGAACATTACCCAAATCTCTGGATTAATAGTCCAGTGATAATGGATAATGCCATGAGGCCATCGTCTCCCCTAAATATGAGGGGAAGTTTTTTCACCCTGAGGGTGATGGGCAGTTGGAACTCGCTACTTGTAGCGGTGATAGAGACTGAGACAGTGTCTCAAAAGGACTGTTTGCCAAAGAAGTTAGTATTTCCCCAATTGCAAACCATGGATGAAGTGGGAAATCTACTCCCTTATGAAGCCCATGTCTGAGGTATTCAAGTTGGATTAACCTGACCTATACAGGAAATGTAGGTACAATCTTCACAAAGCCATCAGGGCTGCCAAGAGACAAACGAGTTCCAGATTGACTGCACAAACACATGTCAACTGTGGCAAGGCTTACACGGTAACAACAGGCTACAAAGTGAAGTCCAGTCAAATCGCTGATGACAATGCATCCCTTCCCTGATGAGCTCAATCCATTTTATGCTCATTTTGAATAGAAGGTCAGTGAAATGACCGACAGCCTCACGTGTACCTGTACCCACAGTCACTGCCCACAGACATCAGATCGGCCTTTTTGAGAGTGAACCCACTGACAGAGACTGGCCTGGATGAATTCCATGACCGTGCATTCAGATCTTGCATGGACCAGCTGGCGGGAGTATTTGCAGGCATCTTTAACCTCTCCTTACTGTAATGTGAGGTTCCCACCTGCTTCAAGACCATTATC